GGCAAAGATAAAATAAGTCAGTTATTAGAAATGGGTTATTAAAACTATTATGTTTAGAAATGTGTTTAAAAAAAATCTCTCTATTTAACAGAAATTGGGGAAAAAACTTGATTTAAGAAATTGACATATAGTTCAACAAAAAGACAAAAAATAAGAAAGGTATTTTCTTGCATGTGCATATACCGGAAAACTGTTAGATTTCACAGATAACTGTCAAATGGAGCTATTTAAACCATCTTGTAAAAGAGTATTCATATAGCAATATATATAGCTGAAAAATAAAATATCATAATATGTGATTTTTCCAATATTGTGCATCCCATATATATATATATATATATATATATATATATAATTGCAACCAGAATTATTATCCCCCTGAATTATTAGCCCCCTTTTTATTTTTTCTTCCAATTTTAACAGAGGGAAGACTTTATCAACACATTTCTAAACATAATAGTTTTAATAACTCATTTCTAATAACTGATTTATTTTATCTTTGCCATGATGACAATGTTTATAATATTTGACTAGTTATTTTTTATGACTTTTCTATACAGCTTAAAGTGACATATAAAGGCTTAACTAGGTAATTAGTCAAGTTATTGTATATTGATGGTTTGTTCTGTAGACTATTGAAAATATATAGCTTAAAGGGGCTAATAATTTTGACCTAAAAATGGATTTTAAAAAATGTAAAAAGTGGTTAATTCTAGGCGAAATAAAACAAATAAGACATTTTTCAGAAGAAAAAAATATTATCAGACATACTGTGAAAATTTCCTTGCTCTGTTAAACATCATTTGGGAAATATTTAAAAAAGAAAAAAAATTCAAAGGGATCCTAATAATTCTGACTTTAACTATATAATAGAATTATAATATTGAATGATCTTTTATTTAATTTACCTGACAGACATTTTAGCAAATTAAAAAAGAAAAATCTGAGTGACCTTATCATGCCATCTGGGTTGAACTTTTAAAAAGGGCTGACTGACTGTTATATAGTCTGGTGATAAACCCTCCTTGTTTTTATTAATAAAATAGCACTTTAAGTGTTTTTTGTTATTTTGCCAAGTCATTTCCAATAAGATATGAGCAGTCCTGTCTAGCGCTGATATGCAAAAAAAGTAGCAGTCTGGTACAAACGAGTCACATCCTTAAGAGGAAAACATGTGATTTTACTGCATTTTAATGAACTTCCATGTTCTGTGAGCTTGCAAGACTTTTGCAACAACGGCAGGGTTGCATGCAGCTGACGCATATCTTATTACTTATTCACTTCCTCTTGTAGACAAAAGCTTGATAACACTGAAGTAATGATCTATTACTTAATGTTAATTGATTTACTAATGTGAACAAACAATGAACCATTCATTTATTCATGATGACATTGAATAACACATTAGTAAATATTGAACTATGATTAATAAATGCTGTACAGTAGGGCTGCACAATATATTGCTTTAGCATCAGTATATGCAGTGTTGAGTCTGGATCATAATCACATTTTGCAAGGTTTTTTTTAGGCCTGTGACTCTGTGAGGGTTTTAAAAGCATTCAGGCATAAGAAATTGTACCGTTTGTACCTTTGACAAATGAACAATTATTGATTTTAAGGAATTGTTTATAAAAACGAAGACCATACAGTATTGTATTACTTATATATATATATATATGTATTATAACTATATATATAGCTATATATCTATATCGCAGAATGAAAAATATCGCAATGTTAGATTTTTTTCAATATCGTGCAGCCCTACTGTACAGGATTGTTCATACTTCATGTTAGTAACATTAACTGTAAGTATTTAACCAGCATTCATTTCAAACATGCATTTAGAAACGCGTATCATAATTATATTTATATCACAGAAGAACTAATATCGGACCTTGCATTCTGACAAACTTGTTCTGAATTTTCTCTATTACAGTTTTTAAAGTATATAAGTATATATTTATATATAGCCCTTCTCTGTATTCCCTTCATGTACTTTTGACCTTACCAAACTTTGAATCCCCCTGACAAATATAAACATGGCATCTTTGAAATGTAGCATAAAGGTGCACTGTAAAAAACGATTAGTTATTTTACTTAAATTGGTAAACCTATTTCCTGAAGGCTAATCTATACTTAGGCCCAATCTCAGTTCTAGTTTTGTACCCCATACCCCTTCCTTTTTCCCTTCCCCTTGGCCCTTGAAACAGCAGTGTGAAAGGTGACAGCACTACAGCACCATCATATGTCATCGCGATCTCTTACTTCATACTGTATGAGATCAGACGATCACGACTGTTGTAGTTATTCCAGTTGTGTTATTTTTATATTTTATTTTATTTTTTAAGAAATCACTGAAGGCAACGATTTCAAGTTATCATAATGATATCATTTGGCAATAAGGTCATAACTATGTAAACACACCAAAAACAACAGTAACATTATAGCAGACACTGTAAAAAGCTCATTTCCAGACATTACTGACAGGGTATTCGAGTGTCAGAATGTTGTTGAACTGCTGTACAGGAGTTATGATTATGGATTATAGTTCGCGAAATTTAGCAGTTTTTTTTTTTTCAGCTGTTTTTTTTTTTTAAAGCATGACGGTTAAACACGAAAGCCATTATGAATATGTTAAAACGTATGCTTATTTGATGTAAAAATTGCATCGTTACTTCCGGGTATAGCTATGCTGCCGTTGTGGTTGGTGTATTATGGGAAATTTTCTTACCCCTTGGTTTTGAGTGTGGTCCTGAAAAATCTTTGTTCAAAGGGGTATCTACCCCTTCCCCTTAGCCCTACAACTTCTAGCTAAAGAGAATTAGGACACCCCTTCACGTGAACATGCAAAATGAGGGGTAAGGGGAAGGGCTAAAGGGTAGAATTGGGATTGGGACTTAGGACCTACTCACACTATGCCATCCGTACCGTGCCCAGGCCCGTTTCTCGGATCGTTTGAGTGCGCTGAATCCGGCTCAAGCACAGTTCACTTGGCCGGCCCTGGCCCGGTTGGAAGAGGTGGGCCTGAGCGCGGTTCACTTGGGCTTACGTTTGTAGTGTGAGTGCAAGACGCACCAAAGCCCGAAACTGAAAGCGAGACGTGACTTTTAAGGGATTGTTTCATATGGATTTATTAATCATTCCTACTGTTCTGCTGTGATTGTAGGCTTGGTTTTGGTGGTGAGTGTGGGCGGAGCCATTAGCAAAATGTGGAGTGTGGCTTGAATGACAAGGGTCCTGTAGTGAAGCTCCAGTTGGATAGTTTTTGTGTTTTTTTGCATGTTCTCCCTGCGTTTGCGTGGGTTTCCTCTGGGTGCTCCGGTTTCCCCCACAGTCCAAAGACATGCGGTACAGGTGAATTGGGTAAGCTAAATTGTCCGTAGTGTATGAGTGTGTGTGTGTGTGTGTTTGTGGATGTTTCCCAGAGATGGGTTGCAGCTGGAAGGGCATTCACTGCGTAAAAATGTGGTGGATAAGTTGGCGGTTCATTCTGCTGTGGCGACCCCGGATTAATAAAGGGACTAAGCCGACAAGAAAATGAATGAATAAATGAATTTCATCAGTGAGAATTGTTTGTTTTAGCTATAATTTTATATCTTTCTTTTTGTGCTTTGTATTGTGCAGAATGTTGGTCAGCCTTTAAAATTGACATTAGCTATGTTTCCATCCAACTATTTTTATGCACATTATGGACATCTGCATAAAAATGGTTGATGGAAACGCCAAGATATGCATATATATTTAAATGCACATAAAAAACATATGCGCATAACTGAGAAGGATCAACTCTTTATTCGATAAGAATAAAATTCCAAATTCCAGCATGCGGTTTAAAGAAGTCATGTGATTTTGTTATAAAAATCACGTGATGATAAAAACGTGTGTTAATGGACAAACTAGCAGGCTGGGCACAAAACGCCTAACAACATCAGAATTAGTGTTATTATAGTATTAATTACCTCCAGAACTGTTAAAAGCGTTGGTACTCTGCATCATTCATTGCATGTATTTCATGTTGGCATTGCCTTCTGAGGCGCAAGTCATTTATTAAATAAAGAAAAGATTCATGCAGAAAATTCTTTCATTTTAAAAGTATTCTTTAATATTAAAAGTAAAGCAAAATCTTTACTTTTAATATTTATCACCTGTTAATCAGAAAGTGAGGATTTTATTGTCTTTGACGCTATATATCTTTGTCTTATATGCGATATTCCAGTTTTGCGCATAAATTTAATTCTCATCTTTAGATGGAAACATACTGTAGCTACTGACTTTGACATAGAAAGAACATAGAAACCCTACTGACTGCTAGTGCTTTAGAAGTGTTGTTATCAGAGCAGAGAAGTATAAATGCATGGCTATGAACAAAAGTATGCACCGGGGGTACTGCAATCATGCAGAAGTATAAACCAGGCTTTAAAGCAACATATTGACTTCACTTAAAAAGTGAGTAAACACAATGGAATTTGGAGCCGTTTAATTTGCTTAATTTTTTAAAATCGTGTACATCATTTTCTTTATTTTAATGCAACGGTTTCAATGCATCCTAGTCGTGCCATATTGTACTTGGCAAAGCATTTATTCAAACAGTTATATTTCTTCAGAAGTATAGACGTGTATAAGGTCGGTGTAATTTAGCCAAGTAGGATGCGACCCTAAATCTATGCTCATTCTGGAACATCATTCCTACTTGAAAATGTATTTCATACTTGATCCTTACCCCTAAACCTAACCCTAACTGTACATTATTCCCAAAACCAAATTGGGAAAATTAACAGTTGGTTAACAAAGATGTAGAAGCTTAAAATAAACTGTAAACATTTCCCTTAAATCTGATTAGAATGTTGTACCAGGATCAACAGAGATGTTGATCCAGGAACATTTCCTACTTGGGGAAATGACACTAACCACATGTATAACCTGTTGGGCTGTTTAACATCCTGCTGACAGTATCTGAGTCAATATTTAGTCTTGTTGTGGTTCTGCTCTTTCCACAGGTGCTCTGACGAAGGTGAAGGAAAGCCAAAAGCACGTAGAAGAAGGGAAGATGGAGAGCCAGCATGCAGATGGCATCAGGGACCGCTGTAACATCATCTCTTTCGCCACCATGGCTGAGATCCAGTACTTCCATCAGACTCGAGTGCGGGACTTTAAATCCCAGATGCAGCATTTCCTACAGCAGCAGATCAGCTTCTTCCAGAAGGTCACAGGAAAGCTGGAGGAGGCGCTGCAGAAATATGACAATGCCTAAATGAACGACGTCCAAATTTGACCAACAGTGTTTCTCTTTGCCTGGACAGAGTGCCAGGTGAGGGTTAGCCAGCCGCTAGCAATATATGACAAACCAAGAGTCTATCATTTTATTAAAACTATCCCCATGCAATGAATGTCCAACACAAGGAACTGAATGTTGTTTGGGGTGTTCCTATAGTGAGATGGCGATAATGATCGTCTAATCTGTTTTCCTCGGAGGACGGAGCGAGAGACCATGGAATGACTTGGATCCTGCTATTTTTAACGATGTCCTTCACACAGATGAATGAGAGATTGACACGACTTGAGGAGCTCACTTGGCTTCTCACTGCCACGTTTCAAACACTCAAGACCTTCTTAGCCGTTCTTAGATGTTTACAGACCTTACAGAGCCACTGTCAACACTGTTGTGCCTTTCAATCTGGTCTTGTTGTTTTTTTATATATAGAATTTCTTAAACAACAAAAAAATGATATATTATTCTTATTCTCACATTTGTTTTTACAAGATTTGATTTTATTATCTTATTAAAAAGTCACCCCTGCCTGAAATGGCAGGGCAAAGGAGTAGCAGGCTCATATTTGGAGATAAGCGTGGGAGTAGCTGAACACAGTGCCCTAATTTGGTGTCCCTTCTGTATTATTTCCCAGCCCCCTTCCCACAGTAATATTTTGGGTCCAATGCAGAACAGAATGTGCACTCGAGGGAAAGCAGTAGTGGCTGTAAGATGACCTCTCATTACTTGGAGACAGTTGAGCAGGTACCTAGAAATATTTGTAAAAAAGTGGGCTGTAAACAGGAAGCACGGCACACTCAGGGTAGCTGGAGCTCATTTTGGAAACTTCAACCCACCGTTTTATCGGCTAATGGTATGCTATCCAGTTTGTTGTCTACTACAGACTTTTACTTATCATTGTGTAAAAATGAACCACACCTAGATGTGCTGAAAAATGTCAAAGAAAATTCCAAATAAACCGTTCCCCTTACTGCTTGTTGCATCAAATGTAAATAGTATGTGTGTGTTTTTAGATAGACGCATTCAAACACCCCATTACTGAACTATAGGGTTTCTTTTTCTTTGGTTAATTCAGTAGATTATTAGAGCTGTTGGCTGGAAACATCACATCCACATATTTTTTTTTCACATATCAGTTCTATTGGTCACTCTTTGTCTTTCCATGAGTTATTTAATCAATGAGCTTGTTACTAACCTCATAGTGCCATCGATTCCTCAAACTGTCTGCAAAACCTCACAAAGCTCCTCCTAACCTTTATTTGAAATAAAGTGCCACACATCATTTTGAGCATCAGTGCTTTTTTTTGATAAAAGGGTAAATAAAGAAGAGAATCCAACATTTTTGGGCCTTAATAAATACTTTTTCTGTAAACACTAGTGTTTTGTGTAGTTGAGGATCAGATATGAACATTTTAGTCTAACATTTGCCAGAGTACATTCTTTAATAGCCTTTGCACAGCGTTGTTGTTGTTATAAAAATATTCTGACTAAAATAATGCAAGGACATGAGAAACTGAGCATCCACTTAGCTACTGTTAATTTAAAGTGATTAAGATGTTTTGGATTAAATCCGAAAGCTCTCTGACCATCCATAGGCAGCAAGGTTCTGGACTGTTTAGAAAAATACCAAAAAACATAGTAAAGTGTGTCTTTAGTGGTTCAATCTGAATATTATCAAGCTACAAGAATACTTTTAAACAAAAAGAACATTTTTATTTAATAGTTTTATTTTCTCAGTGTCAGTATAGGGCTCACATTCTATAAGGAGCACTAAACGCAATAAGAGCACAACACTCGCATGAATGCGCCCACTATACTGACACTGAGAAAATGAAACTATTGAATAAATATGTTATTTTTAATTCTTGTGCACACACAAGTATTTTCGAAGCTTGATAATATTCTGATTGAACCAGGTATGGTCAAGGCATGTGGTCTGTTTTGAGGATGTTTGTTGGTATTCTCTCTCTCTGGAACTTTGCTGTCTGTGGAGGATGAGGGAGCGCTTAGATTTCATGTCAAATATATCTTTATTTGTATTCTAAAGGTTTCTCAGTCGTTTGGAATGACATGAGCGTGAGTATTTAACAACATAATTACATTTTTGGCTTTTTAAAAAATGGATGTAGATGTTAGTGTCAGCACTACATGTTCACGTTGCACATGATAATAACAGACGCTTGTAATTGTTCACTGGCATCAACAACAAAATAAAACTCCAAAATTCATCACTTTAAATCCTGTTTACAAACAAACTCGCTTTGTTTTTGAATGTGATTTAAAATTAAAAAATTTAAACTAGATTAAATATTTAATTTTTCTGAAAATACAATCAGTAATTATAAGCTTAGATTAAATGCCATTACATTTTTTTTGTTTTGCATACATTTTTTAAATCTCTAATTTAATATTTAAAATATAAATATAATATATAAGATATACAGTAACTTAAAGGGATAAATCACACAAAAATCAACCTGTTTGAATTTTTGTTTTTGTCAAGCAAAAAAAGAAGACATTTTGAAGAATGCTGAGAAAGCTTGTCTTTTTTTCCTGTGCACAACAAAAAAGTTTTTCTTACTTAGATTTTTTTGTCTTCTTTTTAGTCCAAATATCAAAAAATTCTTATATCAAGAAGCATTTTCTAGGCAAGAAAAAAATATTGTCTTGTTGTCAGAAATAACATGCCAATAATAAGTGAGTTTTTCCTTAAAACGAGCAAAATAATCTGCCAATGGGGTAAGCAAAACAAAAAAATCTTTTCTTTTGAAATAAGATTATTTTGCCACATTAAGATTATTTAAGAAATAAGATTATTTTGCTTACCCTATTGGCAGATTGTTTTGCTTGTTTGTTGGAAAAACTTGCAAAATTTTGCCACTTTATTTCTTTAAACAAGACAATATGTTTTGCTTGTGTAGAACATTCTTCTTTATTTAAGAATTTTGGTCTATAATATCTATATAAGATATTTGGTCTAGAAAGAAGAAAAAAATCTAAGTAAGAAAATCTTTTTTTTGCAGTGTTGAAATTTATGAGGAACACTTGAAATTGTGTATATTTTATTTCAATTTGTTTTTTCTGAACTATCCCTTTATTATGACATATATTATTACATGCATAAAAAAGTATCTAAGCTAATAAAAACTATTTATTATCAGCCCATTTGCTACTGTTATTTAATTATCAGTCAGCAATTACCGTGAGTGAACAGTGATGTTTCTGTTGCTGATGTGGTAATGAGAGAAGCGTTCATTGTGTATAGTGACAAATGGCCAAGCCGTGGGAACGCAGACTGTTTGCCAGACCGGCCTGCTCTTAGTTGGCCCGGGCACAGCCGCTTTTCTCAGTACTGGCTGTAAACACTGAAGCACGCTCTGCTTTCAGCAGGACGGGTCTCCGGGATCTCTGCCAAACAAGCCTCCTCGCACCAACCATGGGCTATTCTGCCTCAAAGTCCTCATTTCACTCAAGCGTTTAGAGATTTCCAAGATTTACAGAAAAGCCCACAATGATGCAAACCATCACTATCAAACTAGTCCAGATACATATTGTATCCTGTTGTGATTGCAGCTAATCAAAAATAAGGACGCAAGGCTAATGAAAGTAATAACGTCATTTAAAGGCATAGTTCACCCAAAAATGAAAATTCTGTCATTGTTTACTAATCCCCCACTTCCAATCCTATTTGAGTTTCTTTCTTTTGCTAAACACAAAACAAGATATTCTGAAGAATGTTGTGAAAAACCAATTCACAACATTTTTTTTATTCCTATATGGATGTCTATGGGTGACAAGGTGGTGCAGTGAGTAGTGCTGTCGCCTCACAGCAAGAAGGTGGCTGGTTCCAGCTCTGTCTGGGTCAATTGGCATTTCTATGTGGAGTTTGCATATTCTCCCCATGTTCTTGTGGTCCAAAGACATGTGCTATAGATGAATTGGGTAAGCTAAATTGTCCGTAGTGTCCGTATGTCCTGGTCCTCCAGGTTGGAGGTTGAGCGTTGGGCTAACGATCCACCTCTTAAAAATTAGATGTAATAAAACACCAACATGGTGCAGATGGATATCAACTTCAATATAAACAGCCCTAAAAGAAAGTACATGGATGTCAAATAGTTACTTTTCCCCAACATTTTTCAGAATATCTTATTTTGTGTTCAACAGAGGAAAGAAATTCATAAAAGTTTAGAACCATTTGAGTTTGAGCACTGTTTATTATGAGGAATTTTACATTTTTGGGTGAACTATCCCAAGACAAGACAATGCAGATGAATAGGGTAAAACAACTACTTTATGACCGTACATCCCCATGCTGTCGTCTAAATTAAATCAAGAATTAAATTTCACAGTTCAAGTGTTCTTAAAGATTGTATGCTTAAATAAAGATCCGGCATAATTGAATTAAATATTCTCTAATTTGACTACATTTCTAGCAACAACAAAAAAACTTATCAGTGGATTAAACTGATTGTCTTTATGCAATATTAGAGTCAAAGGTTTTTACAGAGCAGATTTAGGAATCTGTTTTCATCACTTCATAATTTAGCAAATCTTCAGAAAACAAAACAAAAAAATGTTGTAATCAGGCAATGTAAAAACACGTTTACCAAAACCTACAGAACATAGATATGAACTGTGGTGTAAAGCAACATCCGAGAGATTCTTTACACTGATGTACTGAAACACTCTTTTCACCACTGGATGTGGCTAAAACTGTGAAGTTGGGTGTTTGTAAGTCTTGTTTCAGTCTTTAAATTATAGTTTACAAACACAAATTGATAAAAGAGTGACAAATGAAACTCTGAAAAGTCTGAAAAAATCTCAAAGCTGATAGGTACATGAAAAAAGTGCTTTTGACTGCATCATTTCGCCTTGGTGTGATTTTATCTTCTGCTGTGGGTTCTGATTATTCCCATGCCGGTCTATGCTTAGACAGTTTGTGTCCAGTAATGTCTCAGTCTTTTCCTGTTTAGTCTGAGTCACCCATGCAGCAGGGCTCACAGTGTGAGCGGGTTGTTGTGCAAGTGTGTCACAATAAATGCACATATTGAGCACTTGTCACCGCACGTTTAGAGTGCCAGAAAACCTAATGCTGCCTTTAAATGCCTACACAGGAAATAAATGCCAGATGTTTAGAACTGCAGGAACTCTGTTCCTCCCAAAGGAGCAGATGGAGGACTGATATCATAATTTGTATCAGTAAGTCTGAAGAATCCTGACCACATTCCCGTTAAATTTCATCTAATGCAAAATGATATAAGAATAGTTCACCCCAAAACACATTTCTGTCATCTTTTTATTGACCCCCCAACTTGTTCCAAATCAGTTTGAGTTTCTTATGTTGAACACGAAAGAAGATATTTTGAAGAATGTTGGAAACTGGTAACCATGGTGGGTTTTTTTTTTTTCATTTTTATAAGTCAAAATACATACGAAAGTCATAAACTGTTCCTTTATATAAATAAGAAAATAATTAAAGAGTTCCCCAAAACTGCACATTACTCATACTCAAGAGGTTTTCAACATTTATCTTTTCAATAAATCTCTAGTTTAAATTGAAAAGTTTTATTCCTTTCTTCTTTTAAATGTTCATTCATTCTTTTTCTTTTCGGCTTATTCCCTTTATTAATCATGGGTCGCCTCAACGCCAACTTATTCAGCATATGTTTTTTGCAGCGGATGCCGTTCCAGACGCAACCCAGCACTGGAAAACACCTATACACTTTTGCATTTACGCTCATACACTAGGG